CGAAGGAACGATATAATTTCGACAAAATTTTGTCTCTACACGTTAACAGCACAGTGTAACAGAGGCAAAACTCATCTTCATTTTTAAAACGTCATTTAATTTGATTTATAATATTAAATTAAACTCAACCTTACCAAAACCACCGGTTCTATTTCTCCATTACAGACTGCGGCGCGGCCGATTTAGTTTCAGCCGGTGTGGTGTGACTGGGGCTGGGGTGTGTGTGTGTGTGACAGGGTGACAGGAAAGAAATGGAGCTCTAACAATAAGGAAAAAAGGAGGAACGAGCGAAATATGATCGCAATCATGCACGTCCCGCTGCCAAATAATAGTCTCTTTTAGAAAAAGAAACAGTCCATCGGCCGGTCATGGGATCTCGGTTTCCGGGTGGCCGGCGGGCAGCAGTGCGGCGAGCGCGATTCGTCTCATCCATCAACAAGCGCGGGTGGCGGGCGAGGCGGCGCGATACTCCATCCATACACTCCATTCCGTTTCCATTTCACTCCGCCCGCTAGCGTGGAGACCCATTGTGACCGGTGGAGCTTGCGAATGAATGCTCGCTCGGCTGAGTGGCCATGTGCCCCACCACCACCACCACCAGCCCGGGGTGGGCTGGGCTGCTAGGGGCCCGACCAGGCCCGGCCCGCTCGTCGCCGTGAGAAAAACGATTATGTCACAGAGTGTTAGTCGCCGCATTGGCCACGCGCTAATCCTTCCGCCTGCGGCCGGACCCGCCCTGGAACAGCCCTGGAATGCACTGCGAACAGCAGTGCAACGGGGTTCCCTATTTGTCGCTTTGCAGGGCACCATCGGTATCTATACTTGCATGTAGTTTATGAGGACCTTGCCCGCTAAACACTGCTGTACTAACTGACCGTAAATACGTTTCCCCACAAATTTTTACAACGCCGGTTTTGGTGGAGCCAAGAGCTTCCTCGTATCAGTCCCACCACGACCTAATTCTACGCGAGTGTGATACTTCTTGAAGGTCTCCCACAGGGGGCGATTAGTCTTTGCCGTAGAAAATAGCCTTTCCTGAGAGACTTGTCTGTCCAGTAGACTAGGAACAATCCCCGTCCCGAGGGGCCCCAAACTGGTGAGTCACGCTGTCAGTGAGTCATTTGGTAAGTGGGTTGGCAGTTGGCGGCGGCTAAGGCCACCCCGTAGCACATTCCAGGCCCTGGAGGCCCAGGCCTCGGTTCGGGCCGCGGTGCTGACTGTTCCCTCTCTGCCGACAGGTGCACTGGCTCGGCGTGCTGCTGCTGCTCAACTCGAGCGCGGCGCAGATCTTCCCCTTCTCCAACCTGAGGCACATCTTCAAACAGGAAGGTAAGGGCGGCGGCGGTAGCAAGGCCCCGGGGTCCCTGGGGCCGCCACCCACGCCTGAGCCCAGCACCACGACCACGCTCGAGCCCCCGACCACCACGGGGCTGGCGCCCTACCTGGCGCCCTACTCGCTGCTGGACGAGGACGATGGCTACCGCGAGTTCCAGCGGCCAGAGTACGTCGTGGAGAGGCCCAGGCCGGCGACCCGGCCCACGAGAGTGGGCCACAAGGCCGGCGCCGCCAGGCCGGCCCAGGCGACGCTGCAGCCGCAGGCGACGCCGGTCAGGACACCGCCCACCAAGCAGAAGAAGCGCCTGCCCTCGCACCTGGTGCCCGTGAGAATAGCGTACGAACCCACCACGCCTGCCTCCGGTGACGTGCATGTCCTCCCCTCCGGTGACGGCCAGCCCATGCAACCGCCCCCGCTGTACCTCATCCCCCCGCGCCTGCCTGCTGACCCTGCTGACCACGCTAACCCCTCTGCGGACTACCCGGACGCGATGGTGTCCCCCACGTCCCCGCATGCGGCCCGGACAACCGAGACCGTCGTCGACACGTCGACGTCCGCCTCCGACGCCGGCCCCCTGCTCGCCCCCGCACCCCTGCCGCCCGTCCCCGCCGTCTATCTGCGCCCGCCCGGCCCGCCGACGGGGCCGTCCAAGCCCGTGCTGTTCAAGCTGGACCTCGGCGACGTGGCCAGCGAGGCGCTGTCGCACAGCACCAACCCCGGCATCCTCCGGCCGGCGCAGGGTCTGGCCCAGGCGCCCAGCAGCATCGCTAACAGCATCGCTAACAGCATCTCTAACCACAAGTTTGCATCCGCCCCGCACAACGCCCTGCTGCCCGCCGCCCAGCCCAAGGGGAAGGGCGGCACCAAGGGCCTCCAGCAGGGTCACGCTAACCACAAGGACGCGTTCCCCAAGGGCGGTGCCGCTCCCAATCACAGGCCGGAGCCTAACGGAGACAACCCTCTTGTTGAATCTAGCGCCGCCGAGTCGTCCGCAGCGGCCGCAGCCGTCATCCTCGAGGGCCCCGGCCACCGGACGCCCGGCAACCACCGGCCCGGGGCGCGTCCGCTGTCGTCGCCGACGACGCCGACGCCGTCGCGCGCGCCCAAGTTCAAGAACCACAAGCCGGCGCCGCCGGGCCAGGCGCCCGCCCCCGCCAGGCCGGTCAAGTACCACAACCACCGGCCGGGCTCGCTCGACGGCGAGGAGTCCATGACCAGCCTGCGGTACAGGAAGAGGCCGCTCGGGCCCATCGAGCAGGTGAGTGGTGGCACTCGCCGTGTCTGTGAAACACAAAACACCACGCGAAAAACGGAACAAAAACGTAGAAGGAAAAAAAAAAGAATGATAAAGTTTTCCGACGGATTTCGTTCGTTGTTGTTGACAACTCTTTTAGTTACTTCCAAACAGGCTCCTCCGTCCGCCCGACTGACTGCTGCCTTAACAAAAGGGCTCAGGGGGTGTGGGGCGATATCCGCCTCGCGCCGCTGCTCCCGCCCCTCGCCCTCGCGTCTCGGAGGCCTTTCCGAACCGTTCTCCTGCTATCTCGCTCCGTCCCGGAGCCAGCCTGCGCCGGCCCCGTCCCGTGGCCGGGCCTGCACTGCGCCTGCGGGCCCCGGGCCACAAAGGGCAGGGCCGGGGCAGAGCGCAGTCCAAGCCGTGTTCTAATTCCCATCTCTGATTAGCGTACTTTTCGTCCTTGGCGAAGAGGCAGGCCGGCCTGGGGAGGGTAAGGAGGAGGGGGGGGGGGGAAATCGGCCGCCGCCGCCACCCTCTCCCTTTAGTTCTGTGCGTCTGCGCCTATTTCTCTTATTGTTTTTCCTCTTTTCCTGTTCCCCGTCTCCTTCGCCAGGGGGTAAGACTTAGGGGTTATGCTATTATAACTTGAGCTAAGGCCTTTTTTCCTCCTCGGTTTATTTCTTTTCCTCCGTTCTTTTCCCCCAGTCCTCTACGATTACTTTTACATAATTGTCTCTACACAGCGCTGGGCAGGGCAGGGCAGGGCCAGAAGTCTCCCTCAACTCCATGTCGACTCTATTATTCAAACGACGCATCCCCACATCGACCCGGCGAGGCGCACGCGGAACACACCATTGCACTCACGGCGCGTCCCCGCTTGTTATTTGCAGGAGGTGGCGCAGACCGGCCTGCAGCACCAGGGCCAGTACCCGCACGCGGGCGACGGCGAGCGCGTCGAGTTCCAGATGCACGGACTCAAGGGCCCCAGCTCGTACAAGTTCGGCTACGACACCGGCAAGGGGTGAGTACAGGTGTTCTGTGTTTCGGATCCGTTCCGTAATAGTTCATACAGGTGCTGTCCAGACACATAGCGCGTAACAGGGCACATAAAGCCACGCCAGTCGCCTGCGAACCGTTGGGTAGGCCAGCCCGCAGCACACTCCAGCATACTGAATTAATGTGGCCTACCGACCAGGCGATTGGTGCGTTGATCGGCACTTGGATCACATCACGAGAGAGACAAACCAGCTGTCTGCTCTTTCTAGATGCCTCAAACGTGTTTTCCTTCGCGCGTTCTTCCCCAGTTAGGTTAGGCATGTTACCGCAATAGCGTCAGCCTCGTAATAGACCCTTATATCGTGTAATAACGCGAACTAGTGTGGAAAATCTCTGCGCTAAAAGTTTGCTAAGGAGTCTCTGTTCACCAAACAATCAGAAGTGACCAAGTAACCGTTGGCTCCGCACAGTTAAAGTCTTACGAAGCAAAATGCCAAATGCTTCGTACCTACGAATGATTTGCTCCCTACGAAGCGTCCAAATCCTTCGTATTACAAAGGATTTGGCATTTTTCTTCGTAAGACTTTAACTGTGCGAAAAAAACAAGCGTAACTCTGCCAGTGCCGGAGAACAAGAGTAACTGGCAGCAGAGCGGAGAACTCGAGTAACTCCCTATCTAAATAGCCAGGCGTTACTCGAGTTCTCCGCGCTTGTGCCAGTTACTCTTGTTCTCCGGCACTGGCGGAGTTACGCTTGTTTTTTTCGGAGCCAACGTAACGACCCTCTCTCTCGCTGGAATCGCGTGTCTGGTTTATTGAAGAACGGCTCCCAACAAGCAGCGACGCCTGCTTCCAGCGCTGCACGGCTGCGCCTGCACACCTCCATGTGCGGCCCCGTAGACCCGTGCGCGCGGTGTGGAGGGTATCCAATACAGGGAGAGCGGCATGCCCAAGGCCCTACACTACTTCCCGCCCCCAGGAGGCCCCACCCCGCCCCACTCCGGAACTCGCCCCCTCAACTGTCATTGCCAACAGTTAGGCCTCTGGGGCTGTTCTCTGCTCCTCCCCCCACCATCCCCCGCTCCCATTTTCGCAACGTATGTGTGCGGGGAAGCGCAAGCGCCTTGCCAGCTCGGAGAGAATCCGCATTTTTTCCCTCTCCCAGCCGGCTGAGTTGAGAGAGAATGAGAGAATGGCACAGGTGGGCGAGCGGGGCACTCCCGCGGGCACCAACACTTCGAGAGCAGCAGAGGCGCCTTACGCGCGCGTGTGTTCTGACTGCTGTAAATATATCTTTCTTTCTTTAGGCAAAACCGCCAGTTCCGCTACGAGGAGCGCGATCACCACGGCAACGTCAAGGGCCACTACGGCTACGTGGACGAGCAGGGCAAGCTTCAGGTCGTCAACTACAAGGCGGACCCGCACGGCGGCTACAAGGCGGACGTCAGCAAGCTGCACACCTAGTCCTCAACCCCCATTGCCGATCAACGGCGAAGGCGTCGCGTTTCTCTGACATCAGCGGTGCGGGCGAACCCGTGCAGTGAACGTCTCGCTCGTGTAACGGCTCTAGCGGAAGTGTCTGTTGATGTTGAATTATTGTGTTGGCGAAAGGTTTTATAAACGGACGACGCGGGTCTTCGGACGACATGCAGCTGAACACGGAGAGAAAAGGAGAGAAAGGAGAGGAAAGAAAGGGCGTCGCCACGGTTGGATGACGACCCCGCGGCCCCGCGCCGCCAACGGCAGGCGCGTCAATGATGCCGTCAATTCGCGTGTGCCGTCCGCACGCCGCAGTCGACAGCCCGTTGACAGCGGTTTCGCAACTCCATGCTGAGGGACGGGAAGGCTCATACAGTATATATAGATTTGTTTGTTAAAAATTATTTATTTTGTCTGTAAATAAAACGCGTTGGAACGTGAGTCAGGGTAGCCCTAAGGGGGCCAAGCCAAGGAATTTGATGAATGTAAGTTATTGTGGCCAAGCTGGTTGGAAAACGGGTCATGTAATTTTTGTTCCCCCGAAACAGTAGTCGCCCTCCTCCCCCTAAAAAAAAAGTTAATCGACCAATCATCCCCAGCCCAATAAAGTGGGAGGGGGAGGGGGCATAGATTGACCATCTTTATTTAAGCAGTTGCTGTGAGTTTTTTCGCCATAGATTCTATTAGTTGAGTATGACGGGGACCAGTAGAGCGCCCGACGGAGGGGGAACAGTATATTTTTGATACTTATTCACAATTGAAAAGTTTACAAAAATCAAGCAACTGTATTCATCCAAAGACACATGATTGTGATATCCAAGGAGCTAAATATGAAAGTGTTTCCGAACTACATTTAAAGCTGTTCCTCCCTCGGGCTCACTCCCGCAAGGGCCTCTGCCCTCCGACCGCTAAAGGGCCGTGCAGCAACCGCCCCGTAACTCACCAAAGAGAGTCCAAGTAGCTGCGGTCCGGTGGGCCTAGCCCAGCTCGTTATTAGAGAGGCACTAATTTATTCTTAATTGTTACAATGTGTTTTGTGTGATGATGAAAGGGCAGAAAAAGTACGCGTGAAGTTTCTCGTGCAACCTTCTTTTAATATACTGGAAAGCAGAAAAGATTTTGAAAAACAGAGAAACTGAAAACAAACTGACATTTTTGTCTGTTTTATTTTTCAATACTTTTTTCTTCTCTTCTTTTAAAGCGGCACCAGTAAGGTTTTGTTTTGCTTGGAAATGTTACGAATTTCACAAAGTGGGCAACGATACTCAATTCAGTATGTCAGATGTAATCATTGTGATCATAAAATTATCGGTTTAGTCTCAACAATCATGCGAACATGCGAACACGGCCGATGACCAGAGAGCTAACCCACAGCGGAACAATGGGGGAACGACGAAAAGTCCTTTGCGCCTCGCAAGCCATCCTCACGGCCGCATGGGGCCTCGAGGCTAGCTGAGCACTCTTTGAGATTTATTGCAGCGGAAGGCCATTTCTTTCCCTTACAACGCAGTTCACAATGTTATGGCCTCTCAGTTTTGTTGTATTAAAAAAATCTACAATTTCTATCATTTTGTCTTGAGTCATGCACATGTGTTTTGAAAAGTGCCCCTTTAGAGTAAATTAAAATTGTGCTGTGTAAGATGCAATAATAACTGTTGTATTACAAGATATTTTTTTACAAATTGATGTCATATTTTATCTTGTTGAATTCTTTTAAGATGCCCATATCCATACACTTTGCAAACTTCATAGTATAGAAACACGGGTCGTCGTCCACATCTGGAACAAACCAAACAAACAAAAAGTACCACTGTAAAGTACAACTTCATGTTTAATTTCAAATGGGCAGTTTCACTTCAACGTAAGTGTCAAGAACAGTTTCACGAAGAGACGATTGTCAATGCATGCAAGCAGTCCTCCTGTTATGGCAGTTTTCTCTACCCGCACTGTTAAAAGCCTGCGAAGTATTTTGCTCCTTTGTAACTACGAAGCATTTACTTCGCAATTACAACGTGATGCTTTGCAATTACGAAGTGACACTTTGCAATTGCAAAGCGATGCTTTGCAGCGTTTTCATCGCTTCGCAATTGCAAAGCATCACTTTGTAATTGCAAAGGAAATGCTTCGTAGTTACAAAGGAGCAAAATACTTCGCAGCTCTGCAAAGCAAATGCTTTGTAGGAATTTAACAGTGCGAGCTCTTCCTGACAAGGACCGATTGCTCGACCAAGCAAATCAAGCACCAATCAGGCCACCTTCAGCCAAACTGAGTAGCCAGCGCAGTGAAGCGGAGCTGGCAACGGCGTTTTTCGGAAGGGTCTGCAGGCATAGCTTGTCCATCCTGTCATTTACGTCAATTCTCTATTCACAACACACTTCGGTGTAAGGTCCAGGACTGCAGCGCAGAGCCACAGCGCCGGGCGACGCGCCGCGTTCTCGCCAACATCGTGTCTTGCAATGTCATCATTATCGTTGTCCCCGGAGTGCAGCAGGCGCATCAGGCCCGCCACTTTCCCCCTCCAGACAACAGATGCGTGGCGTGGCGGGGTGTGGCAGGCGGCCGGGCTCCGGGCCGGGCTCGACGCGCCGCCGGCATGGGTGGCACTTGTTACGCTTTTATGTTTCACTTTCGCGCTCAGTGGATGGCAAGCCCGACGCTGAGGCCGGCTGTCTTGCTGGACAGCCGAAGCGTCGGACAGGGCAGTAAAGTCATAAAGCGGTGAACGAGAGCGTCAATACGACCCTATCTGGTTCTGGTTCGTCATGGTGACCTTTTAAACGAGTTGTGAACGGGAACGCAGAATCTTCCATTCCGTGTTAGAGAAATGATTTGTTTCAGGGAAATCCGAATCACCCGACAAGTGCTCCTCTGCTCCTCATATTTGCCGTATCAAGCCGCATCGGTACTCACCGGAGGCAGAGCCGAGACGGGCGAAGCAGTTGTGGGCGTCGCGCATGGCCGCCACCCGGGGCCGCAGCTCCGGCACGCTGTCCTCCAGGCGCTTGACGACACGCGCCTCGTCCAGGAAACCCGCCTCTGACACCTGCACGTCAAAGGGGGGAGTACTTTCACATACACAACAGGCCCCCCGACGCAAGACACTCCTGTGGGGAGCTCAATTTAAAACACTTCAGGACGACTCCTGCTCAAAGGTGTCCATATTGGAACGGTAGTGTACGGTGATGCAAATGAGTGATATCTTTGATGTAAGTCCTGTAAGCCGCCACCTACGCACGGCCGCGGCACGGCCAGTCGCAGCGTCGCAGCGCAGCCCGGCGCGGCCAACACGGCCAGGAAGTCGGTCCGTCACGCCTCCGGGCTGACGCCGCGCGCACAGCGGGCCCGGCCCCGCCCGGCCCCGGGGATTAGCGTCATCAGATCGATGACAAAATGGGCACCGCAATAATGTGGGACAATAATCCATTGTGCCGCAATGATCCGCTCGTGACGGAAGAAAAGCGGCAGTGTCTTCAACGTGGACGGTCGGTACCTCCACCGCGGCGCGAGCAGGCCCCCGTGGGTTGTAACGAAAGTCGCACAAAACTTGAGCAGATAATTTCCGGTCACCATGCGGGCTAACGGTTATCCCGCGGGGCCGCCCGCAGCCCAATAGCCCAATATCCTTTTAGGGCATGGCTCTGCTTTAGACTTACCAGCCGAGTGTTGGCGAAGGCGCAGTGGAGGGCGCACTGCAACAGGACAGACAAGCTTAGAGAGTCTCACGGCGACCACAGCTGACTATACTCTCTGAAGCGGGTTCAGCTTACCGCAGCAACGTCTCCCTGTCGGTCCTGCCCGTCCCGGTGGTCCTTGCGGCTCCGAGGCGTGCCGACGGGCTGGTGGAGGCCGTAGTACGTCACCCAGGTGCCCGGGGTCGCGGTCCTGGAGCCGGCGGGGGAGGCGTGCCTCGAGGCGCTCCACGGCCTCCCCGCGGCCCTGCGGACCCTGCCGTCGACAGCCTCCCGCCGCGCGTGCTTGGGAGGGACAAAGAGGAGCGCCACGGTTAACAGTATCATTCCAGTTAATCATGCTCATGACGACGCAGGAGCGGGCAACCAAACACGAAGAGCACACTCCTGCTCCGTATACAATTGGCACACAAAATAGTCGCCTAACTGCCTTTGGTTGTTGTAGCGCTTGGCTGGCGTTCTTTACGCTCGTGCCTCGATGTGCGTCATTATTAGCAGGTCATGCAGGTCATTAAATCCCCCCATTAGTTTTATTGCAGCTCTGCACTGGACCCTATAAATATCCCGACCTGCTGGCACTGGACCTGCGTCCGCCTCCCCCGAGAGGCCTCCCCCGTGCTGTTGACGCCGTTGACGCCGTTGACGCTACCGCTGGCGCTGGCGCCGCTCACGCCGTCGGTGCTGCCCCCGCCGGACCGCGGGGAGCTGTAGAGGTCCATGCACTGCCGCAAGGCTTCCAGCAGCTCCGCGTCCAGGCTGGATTCACCGGGGTCTCCATCCCAGCCGTCGTCCTCCCCACTGAAGTCATCCTGCACCAGTCAGTCACCATTACATCTGACATTTCACAACTGAACAGTTCGAATGTAGATACGAACTCGAACAAAATCAGCCCCAAAATCTTTCAACCAAAACGAACAAGAATAGCGAATTTTTCTCTCAAACAAACAGAACCGAACAGTTCTTTGTTCAAATACCAGTGAACAAGCCAGACTGCTACAATTTGCGCCTTTGTTCAACTCTCGGTACCACCCTCCCACCCCAAGTTGCCACTATGTAAACAATGTTTAAAACTGAGTAATTTAGATTAGTGTTGATATCTTAATATTCTACGGGATTACCGGATTTAAAACATCCGACGTTTGAGTCAAAATGTGGAGTTTTTACTTATTTTTTCATTTAAAACACATCGGCTGGGTGCTGCGAAATAAAATAAGAAGCTCCGTGGTGGCCGATGCTCACTTGCGTCGCCAGTCCGGAGCTAGCTGTGGGTTACGATGCATGGGCTGGATTGTCAAAAATTCGTTTATGTTATCAGGGCGAAAACTTGAGATAGAACGACAGTAGACGCCCCAGACCAGATAGTACTTAAAACAGTAAATGATTCCCAGGCAAGGTGAGCAAAATAGGAAAACTAACCGTGGTGTTTCACCATCCACGTCGCCGACCGCTCACCGCGTGATAGTCTCTGCCGTGGTGCTTTTATCGGCCTATGTATTCTGTATCAAAGCGAGCAAGATGGTCCCCAACCTCTTTTGGCTGCAATTAAATCGCATGTGAACATTAGTTCGAGCAGCTCACGAACATATCGCATCCGAACACCCTGTGTTCGAGTTCAAACGATCACGGACAGTTTGCTGTTCGTTCGAGTTCGATCGATAGCGAAAACGTTCGCTCATCACTACAAGGATCATTCCAAGTAGAAAACCAAAGAAAATAGAGATCCAAGGGAAAACATGTGTTTTCCTAGAAAGCGAACAACGTGGGACCCATAGAGGATGCTCTATGTCAGTCAACCAGTGTCAGCGGACGAGGTCAGCGAGGAAACAGCTCATGAATCATAGCAGACACGGATTGCTTTCCAGAGAAATACCCAATTCCTTGTGCGTAGTTTCGGAAGTACGACTCACCCCGCCGACGGGCAGCCGCCTCGCGAGCACGAGCGGGAGGACTTGCAGAGCGAGATGCAGGACGAGCAGCGCGCGGCGAGCCATCCTCCTGGCGACAAAGCCGGCACGCTGCGACCCTTTGGTGCCGGACCCCGCCGCCGGGGCCGGGCCCGCCGCGCGGACACCGCGCCGGACATGGTCGCGGTGCTCTACTGCAGCACGGCCTCGTCACTCGCTTTGGCTGTCTTTGGGCTGTCCGGGCCGCCGCTCTGTCTGCGCGCTCTGTCCACTCTGTCCGCGCGCACGACAGTGGCACGACAGTGGCACGTCCCCCGCGCTGACACGAGGACTGACGCGCACGCACACGCGCCGGCCCCGGGCCCCGGGGGACTCACTCGCCGCCCGCTATTAGGGCTGCACGACAAACAGTTCCGGCTGCAC